GCACGGCTTGGTAGATTTGTGAGACAGGAACGATATTTTGCCATGGGCTAATTTGATTATGTTCTTTCCTATCGGTGGATATCTCTTGGAGCAAACTTTCTCGTCCATTTTCTCAAGCCAATGTGGTATTAAACCAGCCCCAAGCCATCCAAGGTACCTGTTAACACATTTATTTTGTTACTCTAGGAAGGTCTAAAAGCATGGCCAGAATTACTTCAAATAGAAAGGAACAAAAATCATGAATAATAACATCCCTCTAGATGAGATGCACTAACAAAAGGAGCATAACTTCTGAAAATTAGAAATTTAAATTGTTCCAGGGAAAAGGCTTCTAAAAGCAGAGCAAAATTTAATATTTTGACACAGGAGGAAGGAAAAAAGTGACTTCAGAAGTTTCCAGACATCTTCTATCTTTATTGGTTTGCATGAAGACAGACACATAAGATGCTTTATAAGATTTGTTTTTTCCCTGATTTGTATTGGATTGTATTGATAGAGGAATTTAGACGGAAGAATTGGGAAACAAAGTTCCCAGTTTGATAGTGAACGCAATCAGGAATGATGGGTCACAGTGTAGTGATGAAGGCAGAATGTCCCTGCTCATGGCAGAGTGCTCTTCAAGGTCCCTTCCAACCCAAGCCGTTCTGTGATTCTACGGTTCCTCATTTTTCAAGCTGGGCCTGGCTCTGCTTGTGCTGGAACAGATGCGAGGAGTGAGGCAGTGGCAGAATTTCCAGCTGGCAGTAATCAGGGGGAAGGAATGCACCTTTGCAGCAGTTTGTGGGTAACAGAGCAGCTCCTGCAGTTAGCCACGTCTAAGGTTAATAGATTGTGCAGACTGCAACACAAACTTTCACAGGGGAAGTGCATTTTTCTAGTTCTTGTCCATAAAGCTTCCTGTGTTTTACATGGATGCTCAAGTAACCCATGTAATTTTTATTGCCCTATTTCAAGAATGACCAAAGTACAAGTAACTAGATATTTAATTCAAGTTTATTCAGACAACTCTATTAGGTTTATAAAGCCAAAATGGGGTAAAAATCCTGTTATCCCCAGGATCTGTGCAATGTATGTTGAATGCTGTACTACCAGTGTTGTAATCTCAGTGTGACAGAATATGAGAAGGCTTTTCTTTCTTGAATTCACTTTGGCTGCCTCACACATTCAGAGTGGAAAGGTCAGGATTAAAAAAGGTCCCTTTATGTTCTACCTGCACAGACATTCCTAAAACCATGTATCAAAAGAGTCTACCAAAGGGTTTAAATGAATGCTGACCTGCAAAGAATGGTCCCCTGAAGAGGTGTAAACTATATATATGTTGTTTCATAATGTAATGACTTCTATCTGGCTCTTATGTATGCAGCAGACACTCACCAGAAGAACCGTGGAGTTCCAAGAAGATAAGGCCATTCTTAATGTAAATGTTTTTAATCAAGAACAGTGTAGAAGGTCTTCTGTAGAAGGCAGGATCAGGTTTTAAGCAGAGCACAGAGAAGAGAGGGAGAACACATTAGATTTTAGCAACTGAGAAAGAGATTGCAGGAGCATTGGTTTCTGAGGTTAATATAGTAGGAACAGAAGTTACTTCTCTGTGAAACTCCTGGTCTACATCAGTCTCAAAACCAAAAAGCTAGGTAGCATGAAATAATGCCTAACAGTCAAAGCTGCCATGTATTTTAGGTAACATTTTACTTGGAAAATGTAAAACCTGTACCTTTATACTCAGCAGATCTTATAGGGTGGCTGAGAGACCTCAGAGCACCTTCCATGATCTGAAGGGGCTCCAGGGAAACCGGAGAGGGACTCTTTGTCAGGAGCTGCAGTGACAGGACAAGGGGCAATGGGTACAAACTGAAAGAGGGGAATTTAGGTTAGATATGAGGAAGAAGTTTTCCCCGTGAGTGTGGTGAGACACTGGCACAGGTTGCCCAGGGAGGCTGTGGGTGCCCCAACCCTGGCAGTGTTCAAAGCCAGGCTGGATGAAGCCTTGAGCAACCTGCTCTGGTGGGACGTGTCCCTGCCCAGGGCAGGGGGTTGGGACTAGATAAGGTCCATTCCAACACCTAAAATTCTATGATTCTCTAATTTGTGGTCACTTTGAAGAAGTATGAGGTGAAATTTCAGTTGCACTGGAGGATAATGGTCAGAGCTCCATTCACTCTAAAATTCTCTTGAATACCACCTGTGAGATTTTTTTACCACTGCTCATGTTGAGAAGCCAGACCTGCTGTGAGGGCAGGCACTGGCCTCTATTCAGAAAGCAGCTCAGACTGCATGGTCTGGTCTTGAATTTTTTGCTTGTCCAACCCCACTGCAGTGACGAAAGGGAAATGATGCAAGTTGGGTTTTGGCTCCAAACCTGAATTTTCATGCCTGGCAGTTACGAACCCATTTCCCTCCCTACACAACTGTAAAATTAACTTGTTTTCTCCATAGGTCTTTAAAAGTTAATAATTATTAAACCAATGATGGCATATTTTACAGAGTGATTTTCAGCTTGAAAATTTTTCTTAAATCAACATTTTGGACCTTCTGCTTTTTGCATTGATTTCAGCACTCAGTGAACTCCACTTTGTCCTGCCTGATCTGACTTCCTCTCCCCTTTCAGGGAAATCTTCCTGCCTTTGCCAGTAGAATTGCATAGAGATAAAAACATAGCTGAATCCAAATGTTTAGATGAACAGCTAGTTCATTTAGTACTTGGCTTGTTTCATTCCAAACATAAATGTTAACTCCCATGGATATGTGTATAAGCACCTTGGCATGAGTATGTCATGTTACGTATTTTACATATGCAGCATTAGATAAATAGTCTTGAATCTTTCTTTTTTTTTTTTTTTTTCCCAAGGCTTTGCTAGGTTTTTTGCTCTTTTCTTTTGTAAATTTTTGGTAAAGAGTATTTTAAGCAACACATCCTTTTTAGCTGAATTCTGAAAGGGATGTCTCATTGTCTGAAAAATGCTGGATTTAAAACAGAAACAAACAAAGGAAAGAGAAAGGGATCATCTGATCAACTGCTTCACTATTCTTCTCTTTTCCTTATCACCTCTGCCCTGGTATGTAGAAATTGGCTGATTTATTTAAATCCCAGGAACTCCCACGGCATATGGTTCATAAAGTAGCATTTACAGTGTGCATTGTGACACTTCAGTGCTACTAGAAAGACTTGAAAGTAATATGGGTTTATGTTGTTCCAAAAGAAAAAAAGAGTAAAACTACCTCCAGTACTACGTCAACTGCTGCAAAATGAACTTTTGGAGAGGAATGGTGCTTTCTGAATGACAACTGCCACCAAAGCAAAGCTAACCAAACCCCAACAGCCAGCATAACCAATCCTAAAAAACTCCCTTAGCCCAAGAAACTCATCTTCAGAAAGTAGTTCTTCCACACTGCCTTTTTTCCCACAGCCTTGTGGAGCCCCCAACACTGTCTGCAGAAAATGAAAGAGAGAGGGGTGGGATTAATGTGTAATTAAAGGGAATTTGGAAGGCTGAGATGTTGCGGAATGTTAGATCAGTAGCTGGAACAGCATGTGGTGTTCTTTAGGCAGGCTTCATTGAATCCATACAAAAAAAGAAAGAAGGGCTGCTTGCCTGTCTGCTCATTTATCAAACAGCTAGGCTGAACTTTCACAGCTCCACAAAAGTGTTTTACTGTTTGCTGAAGTTTTGCTCGAGAAATTAAAGCTGAAGAACCTAGTGACTCTGAATCTGTGCTGCGTTTTTGACATCAGCCACGTTGTGCAAAGCTCTTCGAAACCAACATGGGTCAATTTTTACACGATCCGAAGGGAAGATGATTGTAGCATTGCTTAAAGGAAAAAAGTAAAAGTCATGGAAGAAATGGACAAATATGTGACACTGTAATGTCTTTATTTATATAGCACCTTTTGATCCAAATACATGGTCCAAAGATTTTGGTCATCAGTCAGGATTAGATATTTATCATGGTGGCAAAATTGCTAATGGAGAAAACAAATCTATATTATTTAATCAATTTAAATTGAATTTTTTTCTAGCTGAGCTGTTATATTCCATCTGGTATAATTGTTTTAATATTAGCTGGTGTTCCCCCACAAAGAGGAAGCATTTAGCAATTCATGTAACGAAACACAATTGAAACGGATTACGAATTTTAAAAGGAAGAAATTCCTTTGCAAGTGAGTCTTCAAGTCTTACTGCCGTCCTTCTTGCATGACTGTTCTAGCAGAAAAATTTTCCTCCTCCTGCAGACCACACTGAGAATCAGGTTCAATCCTGTGAGGTGCTGAGCACCTCCTTTCCAGCAGCTACAGCAAAGCTTTTTCCACAGGATTATCCTGGCTGATAGAGGCTCTGATTACTGCAGGCAAATCTGCATTCATTAATCCATTTCCTTAAATGCAACTGGCACTAAAGAAGTTTTGTTTTACAGTGGCAATGCTCTTTTAATCTCTGCTGAGTCCAGATTCATCACCGTATCTTGCTGTTTCTGAGATGCACTTGTTTTCCCTAGAGGATAAATTGTTTACAAGGTATCTCTATAAACAGCACAGTGAGTCTTCCTTGGTGGCTCTGGGAAATACCCAGATCTTTTCAGGGAATCATCTTTCAGAAAAAGAAGTGTTTAATGGCAGGTTTGTGAAGAGAAGGTCTATAGAGAATTTGTTGGTCCTGCAAAGTGGCATAAAGAAACAGTAGCCCAATCCTAAGTGCAAACCTCCTTAGTTTAGGTGGAGAACTGATCTATGATTTTTAAGGAAGTGTGTTCTACCCCAGTAACTTCTCAGAGTCTTTATTTAAATTCATGTTGGTTAATGGAATTATACTGAACTTTAAAGTCTCTTTCCTCTCTTTCAGTAACAGAAAAAAACAAACCCTTTATTCCTGATTTGTCCTGTCATGTATTTTGCTGACATTGCAGTAGAGTATTCCTGTTTTCCTGTCTTAAAAGTCCATATTAAATTAAGTATTAGTAAATGTGCTTTTCATCTTCTTACTACCAGTTTTGTTTATTTGCAGATAATAAGGCAACAATTCCCCCAGCTAACGACAAGAAGACTTGGAACCAGAGGCCAATCAAAGTAAGCAGTGTATGATGTTATTCTCATCTCACACAGGGTGCCATGTGGCTCTGGCCTTACTGAATAGAATACTGTAAGACAAGGGAATAATTTGTCCAGTTGTGGACTTTAAAACCAGTGTTGATGGAGGTTTCATTGTAGCCTTTACATTGTCTTATTGACTCAGCAGTGATCCTGCAAAAGTGGCTCTAATGGAGGCTTTTTATTAGTTTAATCAATTATATTTTCTATATTGATCTTATAATGCTTTTCACCTCAAGTCACTTCACACAATAGAAAGGACATTCACACCCAGCAGTAATGGAGCTATTGAAATTACAGCTGGTTAGCATCAAGTTTCAGCTTAGAGGACAAGCGTCACGATGCTATCTAGAATTTAGGTAGGAACATACATTGGCCTAAACTGAAATTGCCCACAAACCTATGTTTAACCACTATTTTTTCCTGTGGAATGAAATCCAATACACCTTTAAGTGATCGAGGAAGTTAGCTTATTGCCTTACCAAAAATGGTACTTCCTGAAAACAGTTCATCCTAATTCCAGCATGAGAAACTGATTTGGAGTGAACAATGCACGTCCTGGGGAATTTGGCTTTTTCCAGTTGTTGACAAGAGGTGATTCTACCAATTTATGAACAGGATCCAGCGATGTTTTTATACTTGCTCTTTCCTGCTTGTGGACTCCTGAAACTTTTCCAGTGGAGCTTTGAACCTTTTTTTCTGGCAAACATAATACACCTAGAATATGAAAATTTGCTTGTCTTGATAAGCCTTCACAGAATTCTCCAGGGTAGCATAAGGACAGTGTCTATAGATCACAAGTGGAAAACTATGGAGGGGGAAAGGAAAATCTGAAATGGTGTGTTTTCAAAATATAGTTGGTTAAGCTTAGCCTAGAAACACAATATTGCTAAATGCTGAGAAAGAACTACACTCTTAGAACTCAATTTGCATACTAAAGCTAGAATGATCTGCTCTTCAAAGGGAAAAAGAAACTAAGATTCTAAAAGAAATGCCATTAAAATTAGCTTTACTGTGCTCTTCTAACAAGTGATCCATGCCAAGAAATATGTCTTTGTTGGGACCAAATATCCTTTCCCCCAGCTTGATATCTTCTTAGTCTATATAAATAACTAAGCTTTTTTGGGGGGGGGGCAGACACATTTAAGCAGCTAATTGAAGACCTAAAATCCATTCCCAAATGCAAATTCAGGGTTACTGTAACATCACTCATCGAAGCCAACAGAAATCCCTCAGGTAGATTGGGCTAGTCCAACAGCATATTAGGAAAGCACGAGAGGTCTGGAACAGAGCGTGTGGATTTAGCACTGAATATAAATTCTGTGGAGGTTCATAAAGACAGAGGGAAAGCATGGACAGGTTGCTTTATGGGCACGTTCATATGAGAGTACCTGTTGTCAGTCTGACATCAGCTACAACTTTGTTACTTGCCTTCTCATTCAATGAAAGGAAGGAGAACCTCTGTATTTCCAAACTGGAGCTCCTCCCACAACTCCAGAAGTTGCTCAGAGGGGCAAGATGCTCTTAATCTGCTGACTGAAGGTGTCTTGTGCCTCCAAAAACTGTCTTGTGCCTCCCAAAGCTGTCTCTTGACTCTCAATGAGGCTAAAAATCAATGAGACTTAGTATTTCATGCATAATTTCCCCATAGCCTGCCTGCCTGTCAGAGCAACTTTCAGGTCACATTCTCCTTTCCTGCCACTTTTGCAATGGTTCTGCTCCCTATCCAGCAAAGGAGGTGGTGCTTCTGTCACAGACAGAGACTACATGCACACTGTACTTCTTTGCACTCCTTGATAGACTCAGTGCAGCTGTAACTGAGCTCTGGTTTTGTTTTCAGAAACATCTGACTGCATTTCACTGAGGTGTTACATAAATAAATTACTTTAGGTGTTAACACTTCAGTCCCTTTATCACCAGCTGCGCTGACCCATTGCTGCCAGTATGATTTTCATATCACTTATCTGCTCCTGCCAAAGGGAATTCTGCCATCAAAGTGGTGAAGATTATTTGACTTCACACTGTTCTGCCTTAAGTCATTTTATAGCATGGCTGCCTTGCAACGTGACAAAGTTCAAGGCGACACCGGTGCTGGTCTTGGTCCTCAGTTGTGAGGTTTTCTCTTTGCAGCTGGGTTGGTTCATATAAGCATGCAGCTGTTATCTCTCACACTGAGCTTAAGAACAGCTCCACCACAGGTGGAACAATTTCCTTCTGTACTGTAGTCTGAAACTCTTCAGTTGCATACACAAGATGTAAGTCAAACCAATGGAATCTGCATGGTGTGAAGGGAATGATGCTTCTTCCTTTAAAGGAGTCCTGCATATAACCGATCCATGAGGGTAAAAAGCATTCCACTGTTTAGCACAAAATTTGTTGTGTTGTCTGCATATTATTCCTCTACAGATCAAACCTTCAAGCCCTGTTTATTGAATTAAGGGAATTGTTTTTTGTGTGATAGAAGTACAGAAAAGTACTTGGAAAAGAATCTGTATAAACTGCTTCAATGAGCTTTTGCCACTTGGGATGGTAAAATTGATGAAGGAAGAAGCTACCTAGAAAAATTCTGGAGTTAATTTGGCTGCTGTTGTCTATATGATTTTGAAGCTACAAGGAAAACTCTTTTATGTAGTTCCCTGCCGAGTACAATATACCAGAAATCAAATATTGCACAGTGAAATTCTACTACATATTCCAGGTTTTCATTCCTTTTTAACTGACCAATTTAAGACAAAACTTGATGTGAGTCTGACCCCTATTTAAATCATACAAACCTCTCAGTGCATCTAGAAATAGAGTAGTCCTGAACACTGACTTTTTCCCTTTCCCTGAGCAATTTGTGATGCTAACTCCCTGCAGCATTTCCTTTTGGTTTCCTCTACCCCAGACACAGCACACAGTCCATGCGTGAGATTTATGGCTCTTATGTGCAGTTGTCAAGGATGAAACTGGGCACTTGAACTGTGAGCTGGAGTTGATACTGCTCAAGCTAAAAAGGCAAATTTCTACAGCTGATATCAGAGCAGTTCGTCCTTAGTTTTCTGCAACAGGCTAGGCACAAGCTGGCGCCTGATTTCTGGTGTAGGATACATGTTTTGGCCCAAGCCCTGATGGGCAGATTGGGAGATAGTAGTGTGGTTTTCTATGGTATTGCAACTAGGAAATCCCACTCATACCGTGTCAGTTTGATGTGTTCATAAATTTCACTTGGATTATTCAATCTTGAGTTCAAGGCAGCTTCTGTTTTCAATGGGAAACATGGAAAATCCTCAGTGGGCATGACAAGGGAGCCAGGTGCTAGAAGCTTGCTGCAACTTCCCAGGCCTCCTCTTAGCCTGCCTGTGCTGGTAGATGAGATTAGGACTTCCAGCTCCTTGCCACCATCTTCTGCTGGGGGTTATGACATGCACTGCTCTGTGGATGTGATGACTGTGAGTGAAAAAAAAGGAAAAAAGTCACCCGAGTTAGTTTAAACTACCATCACTTAAGTGCTACTGTTTCACTAATTTAATTAATGACCTTTGTAGAACCTGGTCATTTTGCCTAAAGCAAAGTTGTATCTATTCAAGTGAACAGAGCTGGAGGCAGCAGGCTGAAATGGTCACTGACTGGAGAGTATCCAGAGATAGTAACCCCTCCTGCCACCACAGTAGGGTCCAGAAGACAGTGTCTCATTGTGAGACGCTTTTGATAGGCTGTAAGGAGAGAAGTGGAAGATCATTGAAAATTCCACCTAGGAAATTAGGCAAAAGTATCCCAGCAATACAATATTGTGGTGCCTTTCATAACCATTGCAATTTAGTTGATGGGTTGGTGGTGTCAACAGCTGAGAAACTGAAATAAAAGGTAGGAAATTACGGAAGGAATAAGATTACCTCTGCTGCTTTCATGCAAGAGTTTTACTTTGACAATCAGTGCTTCCATCAGCACCTACAATAAAGCTGAGTTGTAGCACAAACTTGTGCCATAAGGTGACCAAACTGTTTTTAGAGCAGAACCACACTCTGTAATTCCCACTGTGCTCTGCACAGACAGAGTTACAGTGTTGTGTAGTATCCCTCACTGACCTGAGCCCCGTGCTGATGTTAAGGGATGAAGCAAAGAATTTGAACTGTACATTTCCTACAGTTCATTGCTTTCCAATGTGAGCTTTTCCCCACTCTTTTCATTGAAGTGTTTTCTATTTTTGAAATGTTTCTGATCGACTCATTTGCTATAAACACTTGTGCTTTTTTGGGACCAAACCAGCCCTCCACAGTCTGAGAACTAGGGATCTGAAACAACAACAGAAGGACCAGGCCAGAGGGTCTGTACCTCTGCTCATTGTTAAGGGA